TTTGAAAATTTAGAGTTTTCATATGTTTTACTATATGATCTCCAAAAATTCCGGAGACTTTTGTCAGGGGAGTGTATGTAGTATATAGCACTACAATAAAATAAATGCACAAGTTTTATATGTAATTCGTTTAGATTCTACATAAGAAATAGGTAGCAGTTGCAGCAACTTCAACGCTAAGCAACATTGAGTGCGTTTGATAAGCATTGTAGAAGTAATATGAAGATATTACTAATATTTTACTTGTCGAACATTTAATAATTTTTTGCGATCTAACAGTTAGGTACTCGGGGCAGCCCTGTATTTTATTGAAAGCAAAGCAGTTGGTATACTTTTTGTAATGTTAGCCAGGAGTAGCAATTCATCTGCTCTCAGACCAAAGTGTTTTGCTACGATAATTTTGTGTTCGCTATTTTTCCAGGAAATGGCAATATAACTAATTAATACTAATTTTACCTACATAAAGCATCAAATTCGAACGGTTGGTATCATAAAGAAAAGCAAGTAATGCACATATTTTAATGCAGCATCTAATTCTTAGTAGATTAATTTCATAACTTTCGTATTAATTGATAAAAAACATGACTACTGATGGTCGTATCAGAGAGCACGCAAATAAAATAAAACAATATTAGGAAAGTATCGTGAAACAAATGTATTACTGGCCTTAATCAATATTTTATATGTAAAAGATTGGGCAAAGTGAATTAATCGCATTGCCTCTATGTTCAGAGCTTTTCACATCAGGTTTGCTTGAAAATTTATGTGTTAAGCTAGTTGTGTTATTTCAACTGACAAGTCTAATTTTGTGTATCATAATTTTGTTATTTCAATAATCAATTTAATTAGCAATACAATTATAGTAGTTTGTTATATATAGCTGTTTTATCTATAACATTTCAAAAAATATAATTATAAGGCTGCACTAGTCAATTAATACTGAGTATGCAAACCTCGATTCTTCTTTGTGGTTGTCCCCACTGAAGTACAAACAATACAGTCTGGCTATGAATAAGCGAATAGTTATATTCGATCAAGAATATAATTACTGAATAAGCACGCCCATTATTATATCAATTGCATAAAGTGCATGCAAATTCGATAATTCGGTCATGCATGGGAGATCAACTTATCGAGTTTGCATGTGTAATATACAACCAACAGCTTTAACAGACTTGCTCAGCATAGATTCATGTTTAAATCAGGAGTTTCATGATTATTGTATAACATTTTTTGCATCAATCATAATGCTTAGGGAAGGCATCTATAGCCATAAGTAGTTATATTTTGGATTGCGGCAATGCTACAATATCTAATAGATTTATATTACAAGTAGCTGAAAGAATGCCCATGTCATGTCTACAACTCTACTTACATCATAGTCTTGGCATGTTTACTGAAATTTCTGGCATGGTAAGTCTTGCTGGCAATAATTTCCCTTTCAAAGCAAACTTGTGATCTGTTGCACATAATGTCTATCCTGAAATGAAACTCGGGACAAAACAAACGATGTATGACGGGAATATGCAATGAGGTCTTGATAAATAAAAATAGCGTGAGTTTGTTTTAGTACCATTCCATGAGAAACAGTAAAACAGAGTAGTTATATCGCAACATCAAAAAATTAGTTTATTATGTTGTTTGTTTTCCAGTTAAGAAATACATTCACAAGTTACATCTGCTTTATTGTTGATTGTAATAGTAGAATTTTCCCCATTATACCCGTCGATACATTGTAAAATAATATCTCAATAAAAATAAAAGTGCGAGATAACGCTAACATCACATAGTGCATTGCACGCACGCAGAATTAAAGAGTAATTGTCACTTTCTTTCATTTATGATTGTAATGTAACGCCATTTTGTTCTAAAAACCTGTCAACCGTGTTCTCATAGATTTCTCTTCTGTCAACCCAATGCTTTACATGCTCAGTGTCTTCCACCACCATTTCATCCGTAACGTATCCCATGTCAGCGCTCATTTTTGCTGTCTTTTCTACATCTGCATACCGTACCAAAGCATCTTTCTTCGAATACACAAACAGCCTCGGACAGTTTGCTGCTTTTTCATACAATAATGCGTGAACAATATACCGTATAAGTGATTTCTGGCGAATAATGGCCATATATAAAGCTATCCATGGCGCGGTCAGGAACATGATACAGTTGGTAATGAAAATAGTTATGAGTTTTTTAAAAGGATTCGTCTGAGTAGCAGTGAAAAGGCGATGAAAGCGAAGGAATCCCAAATTTCCAGGGACAGAGTCAAGAATTATGGCCGAGAAACGAAACGGTAAGTTGTTGGCTTTCAGCATCTGGATCATGCCGGCAAGACCGCCACCGCCGCCGTTCGAAAATACATGAGCGATGACTTTTGGTCTACGCCGAGTATTAATTATATCTGTAACAGTAGACGTGGCTTCACTCTCGGTGGAATCGTTATCAAATACTCCCCATTCATATAAATATGGAAGAAGCCCTTCGCACAATTTTTCTGATTTGTATGGCAAGTAAACATAAGGAATGTGTGAAGCAGTATAATATAAAATATGATAGTTTCCCTTCTTGCGCCAGAACGATGCGATTTTAGAAAGGTGTTTTAATTGGCCGTTTGTCCACCCGAACATAATAACAATGTCCGGAACGGGCGTTGTCACTGCACATCGTTCCACGTAAAGTGTCGTGGCTGGTTTTATTTGGGTAATTGCAGACGCCATTAGTCCAAATTAATTGACGAGAAGCAAGAAGTTCCCACTCCGCTCAAGAAACCGCCGTTTATAAAGACAAATACAAATGCAATTTACCCGAAGTCCGCACTGTTTGTAATACCGGATAATCGGAATGACTGATCATGTTATTATTGTTTGTGTGATACGAAACTTTTTAGCACAAAATGTAAAGAAAACAAATGCATTTGCATTTTCGTTGACAAGCATATGAAAGTCAGCCGTACGGAAGATTTCCAAAAATTGTAATTGCATATTTCATTTGCCAAAACGAAAAATCTGATCGAGTTTGGACTTTTTTGTTGATATCTGATTGTTAATTCGCTCGTTGACTCTGGGTACATATATACCCGTCAGGTCGATCATTTTTTAAACCTACAACCACCAAGATTATCCAGGGAAGTATCGAGACTATTGATTGAATTAGAAAGCGAGCAATAAAGTACTACTTTTATTAAATTCGGAGTTTACCAATACCGCAAGTCAAATACGAACCAGCCAACTGAAATTCTTTAAGAGAAAGTGCTATGAGCACAAGCATTATCGTAATGGTGATATTGGCTATCAATAAACAATTGCAGCGAAGACAAGGATTTCCTAGTCGGGTTTTTAAAATTGGGCTGTGCAACTTCTTTTCAAGTTAAGAAACAAATCTGCATCAAAGGTCTTGTAATTCATATAAGGAAACGTTGTCTCGAATAAATAATTTAGCAAACAAATGTAGAGTTGATGTAAGAAAGAGCATATGAATTCGGATCAGAGAAGGTATAAAAATAACCGCGAGTACACTCGCTCGAAAACATGGCTGTTACTTATCATTATAGGGAAGCACTATTAAATATCTTCTATCACAACTGTACAGTGTAGTGTGCGACTCGTAAAATTTCTTATTATGATTCAAAAAAGCAGCAACATTAATGAAACGTTTTAGCGTTTATGGAAATTAATATTGTGATTACCAAAGCCAACGGTCCTCTGGACTGTAATTCCGAATAGCGAAAATATGCTGGGGACACTCTGGAACCAATCTTCGCAAACTCCAGAATTTTGATCATTTGTTGCAACTAATATTAGTAATTCTCACTGATTAATGAATAGACGCTTGCTTAAAACTGACTTGTTTACTTTCTGCAGAGAATAACTTGCTAAACTTAAATGCCAGCTTTCCTAATCGTACTTGATATACGTTCAGCAACTAATGTTTACGTTTGACCGGCGATGTAAAATATTGTTCATTAATTAAATTATTATATGGATACACGTATAATTAATACGTTTAAGATACAAGTTCAAGATAGACACAAGCATGCGGTAACAAAATTATTGGATAGTTTGTTACATTACATACATTCACTTGTTAAAGTTGATTCGTTTACATCAACAGCCAGTAACGTTGGCTAAGATAACTGCTGTTAAACGCTTGTATACGGGTTAACTATATCCCATTTGTTTGAACAGTACCAATAATTCAAAAACATGATATTCTCCAATTTGTCTATACCCTTTAAAAACCTCTAGTTTTTACTGGATAACATTGGTTCCATATTGTTGGCGAGAAAAAAGTCGACTATTTCTACGATATGAACTTTGCCTTTATTGCGCCAGAGAGTTTCTAACAATTATAATTTCCATATAGACTTTTTCACCTTATTAATGTTCTGACGCTCAAGTCAAGACACTAAGTCAACGCTTTAAACTAGTCAGGATTGCATGGTGTGCGCGTACTCGCATTGACACTGCTATATATTTAGATGAGACGGATGCCATCATCAACATTTTAATTCAACGCTTTGCTTACTACATCGAACACGCGTATAATCCATAAACGTAGATAATGTTGGGTAAGGTGAATACCACTGTTCGTTTGTTAAACGGAATATGGTTAATGCCTTTGTTCCCAATTCGTTTATAATAATGAATAACGGATTTAGCCAGTATTGGTAAACAAGATCCTTATTTTCAATGTGCGGCTTGCATCCAACCCGGATTGCATATAAACTAATTTGCATGCAGTTTATTGCGTACGTCGATGGCAATGTGTAAAATTGTGGGGTTGGGGTCGGGTCAATAGTTTTGAATCGCAAAAAGCTCCCCATTAATGACAACCGCTTACCCACCCCCTCTCTTGGCTTGTTTCGGATTTTGCTTTCTCACATCACAGAACAAATGACATATAATCAAACTTGCGAATAACAATAAATCTTATGAAGATTACTGCTTGCCTGGTATTTACTAGTCAGTTTCCTCTATTAATCACGCTAACCAACATCAATGCCCCCTGCATCAAATAAAGCTACAAATGGATATTAATGTTATCGTTCTGTTTTATTGGACGAAAGCGACATCAGTCGTCTATTCATATTGAGTAATGTAAATAAAACGTGAAAAAGTTTGACATAATCGAAATCTATATATAAATAATAGCCGAGGCTTTTTTAGCAAAAGCACACATGTTTTGTTCGAATTCATCCTTCACATATCTCCAAGCTATTCTCGTTATGTTGTCGGTAGAAATTGATCTGTGTTGACAAATATTTACTGTTGTTCAACTCTATAATAAATAGCCTTATTAGTATTAAGTTGTTCTTCCCTCCCCGATTCTGGAGAAAAGAAGAAACGACCGATTACTAATAGTACAGTACAGTAACTATCTTCGCATTTCTCTCCGTTATGTGGCTGCAGTGGTTATGCATGTCAATGTTATACCAGGAATGATTGAAGGAACTGATTGCAGACATACGGGATCTACGCTTTTTGTTATCAGTTGACGGTTCATAAATCTTATCATCTGGGAGGAGAGATTTGTTTGCGTTACCCCAGCAACAACGAACGCAGTCAGATATGTGATGATAAGATCGCAGCATCGGATTTGAAAGAACGTCATTCACATGTGAAGTAAATCATTGATTTAGTTAGTCTTGTTCGATGCGCCCAATGATACGCACGCAGCATGTTGTATGAATAAGGCGACAATCTATTTGTTTTGTTCTCGCCACACAGAGATAACTGTGCCCAATGCAATATTTAATAACTGCGCCACCGTTCCGCATCGGCATTCTGGCAATCCCCTTGTTGTGCAGCAAGAAAAAAAAAAAGTAAAGTAAAAAAGGAAATCATTAATGTTAATAGTGAGCCGTAATAAGTGATGCATGAAAGAATTCCATGTTCAAATTCCGAAATCCGTCATCAGCTTTTTGGGGCCAATCTTGGCTAAAACTGCTTTAATATAATCATAATATAGTTAGCCCATTGTCATTGCCCGTATCCCCGAGTATCACATAGTGCCATTCATTACATTAATATATTTGTGTCCAATTAGTGCGAATACGTTGGATACTCAATCCTTTCATTCTTTATTTAGTCGTAAAACCATGTAACATGGCTATTTATACGCCTTGGTGTCCCACACGACTACTCAAAAATGTCATAATTAGCTTTCATGATAAGGCCGCAAACAATTACTAATATTATTTAGACAACCGTAATTACTATATTTGTACTTTAATATTCATATCTGTATAATAAAAATATTAATATAGCCCTGGTGCTACTGACGTCACAAACAGCCGGCCGGGTCATACACAATATACAATGTATTACATTCAGTACTCATTGCTACACCAACACCCCCTCCTCCATCAAAAGAACAAGGGAGGTTGCCTATGCTCAGCACCTTTTTCTGGCTTGTTCTCGCCATCTCGGTCAAAAAAAAAAGAACCTTTACCTTTATTTTATTTAATTAAACGAAAATATCTATCTAAGTTCCCTATGTTTCATATTATTAACTAAACCAAAAAATCTATTTAACTTGACGAAATCGACTTATTATATTCGCTTCGTATTTACAATCAGAACTGAAAATATTCATATCGCATTCTTCGATACATTATTCGCTACATACCCTGAAATAATACTTCGACAGTATAACTTCGACATCAATAAATAATAACGAACGCTGACAAGGACGCTGGACGGTTCCCCACCACCATCTACCAGTCAACATCCACAAAAACAACGACTGTTCTCTCACCAATCCAACTCACTTTATACTTTCACTAACGACGTCTAATTATCGTAATATTTTTATACAACTACGTTCAGTTTCCTTGCATAATTAAAAAAGAAACCCCTACATACCCACATACCACAACAAATTTAAAAACAAAAAACCTTAAAAAGTACAAAAAAGAAGTGCACTTGAAACGCTTCACACTCCCCCAAGCGTTATAATACACATGGCAGAAACACAATTCGAAGAACGACCGCAGGAACTCCATTCGAAATACTTCGTCGACTCGCGTACCCCCTTCTCCGCAGAAACTTTAAAACCCTCAAAGCTACACGACGCAAAACTACAAAGCTTTGCAGAAAAACAAAAATCACTCTCTCTAAGCCCTCAAATCAAATTCACCAAACCCGTTCCCCAGACTCCGGAAGAGAAAATGGATGAGGTTGAAGTTGATACTACAATACCAGACGTCGAGAGTTTACTCCTCGATCCATTGGCTGATGAGAATGTGGTTGCGAATCACAGGAAACTGACGGAAGAAGAAAAGAGAGCAAAGCTTCGAAAGATTTTCTCTTCTTCTTGCAGTAATGGTAATTTGGAGAAAGTGGTTAGCATGCTGAAGAATGTAAGGAGTTATATCGATATAAATGCCCAGGATGAGGATGGGATCACACCCTTGATATACGCTGCTTGCTTTGGTCATGGGAAGATTGCTGAGACGCTTTTGGAGGCTGGTTCGAAAGTGGACATTAAGGATAAGAGTAAGTATCAGAAAGAGAAGGAGAAGCGAGGTTTTGTCGGTAGAAACAGGAAGGTCGATATTTATAGGTCAAAAAAGGCGGGATAGATTTGATAGGGAATGTCGTTCGGTGCGGTGAAGTTTTTGATTCAGAGTTTCTTGTGTTGGTAATCATTAATAATGTAGACAGGTCATTTAATTGCAGTTGGATGTACATATACATACATATACATAATCAGCCCAATTAAACTTATCGCATATCGATTTTCTTGCTCACTTATAATCTTATCATTCTCATTTATAGACGGGTGGACGCCTTTAATGTGGGCGACCAACAACAACCACTCAGCCGTAGTAACTCTTCTACTCGATCATGGCGCCGACGCAGGAACGAAATCGACTAAAGGCCACACCGTCTTTGACTTTGTCCCACCAGATAACCACAAGATTGCAGAAATTTTTATCCATAACCCGCAGCGCGACAGTTGGTCTAGTTGCAACAGCATGAACAGATTGTCTATGAAATTGGAAGATGAATGGTGCATGATTGGCGACAACGACAACAAACTCGACTCGCTGGCGGCTGCAGATATAAAGAGGAGAATGTTGATGGAGAGTGTTGCATTGAATCTAGATGTAGATATAGAAACTTGTGGCCTTGACGAGCGTGAACCACAAGAAGAGGAAGGAGAGATGCACGAGTTTGTTTGGGACAATTGTTTACCGGATCAAATGTTTGTTTTCTCGGATGAAGACATACCCCATATTCTCAATACAGTCGTTTTCAACATTCAGCCGAGCAGATCAAAGAAGCTGAGACCAGTGCCGGCAAATGTGATTTTCCTTAGTGCAAGGTTTGCCCATTATTTCAGTAGTCAGGAGATGTTGGAGACTTTATTAGATGATGTTGTCGATGCTATTGAGGCAGTTGTCAAGGTACGTATATACTGATAATTTGTGTCTGAATTGAGCAACTCCAAAAGTTACACATTCACTGACTTGTCTTTTTACTCTTGAACATAGGCACGACCTGACGACATGAGTCTCCAATCCTTCTGGATTTCAAATTGCACTCTCCTCCTCTATTATCTCAAGAAAGATAAAGGCCTTGCTATCGCTACCTACAAAAACCAAAGTCGCATCTCCAACCTCTTACAAGAAATTTACTTTTTATTAATCCGTGATGCTGAACGTCGATTGGAAAGAATACTCGAACCAGCCATGATCGAATTTGAAACTATTCCTCTGGGAGACGTCCGATTCGAGGGTGAATGGAGAATTCTCAGAAGTTTGACTAGAAGATCGATGGCCCCTCCGACTTCTGATTACTCAACAAAGCTAAAGAGGACAAGCTCGACAAGCAGAATATCATCACTTCGAAATTCCACGTCATCGCGGCGAGCAGCTCCTCCCTCACCAACGAACATTACGTCTTTGTTATCAGCTACCATGCTCATTATGCAAGCTTACGACATTCATCCGACTATCATTGAACAAGTGTTTTCGCAGCTATATTATTATATTACTTGCGAAATATTCAACAGGATTCTTGCAAAGAAGAAGTACATATGTCGCTCACGAGCGATGCAAGTTCGATTAAACATTTCAGTTTTGGAAGACTGGGTCCGAACGAATAATCTCCCAGCTAGCACTACAACCCACTTCCAACCACTCATACAGCTACTACAACTTCTTCAATGCTGGTCGCAGATGTCAGACTTTATCGTAATGGTTTCAACGACAAATGAACTCAAGATGATCAATCCCGCTCAGCTGAAACGAGTACTAAAGAATTACAGATATGAAGTCAAGGAACCAAGACTGCCGGAGGAGTGCCAACAATATATTCTCCAATTGGAGGAAGATACCGAACGACGACGAAAGCGGTATTCGATGGATAGTATGAGAAGCAATCGCAGCGATTCTAGCAGCATCATATATTTATCGACTACAACTCCAGCATCAGCTAATGGCGCAGCTACTACTTGGGACGAAGATGAGGAATTTGGCGAACAGAAAGATAGTGAAGCTTTATTAGCGCTCTCACTGCCCACCAGCGCAGAAATGCTTTCCAACTTTGGAGGAAAAGAGAAAGAGAATGAATTTATACCAGTCATCTCAGATGAGTGGATGGAAAAGTTAGATATGGGGATGAGAATTGGGACAGGAAGTATCGTAGAGCAATTGACTTCACAATGGGAGGCAGAGTATAATTTCGAAGATGACGAAGAGGATGACGAGATGTTTAATTCTGAACATACCATAACAGTTGAAGCAATTTAATTTTTTGGTGGTCTATCCTCTCTCTCCTCATGCTGGTTTCTTTTGATTGGTATTTAGTATTTCTTGTTTTTTTTATTAATGTGTAAAGAATTTGTATTAAGATTCCTCCTATAGAACCTTGTCTTTTGATATCGCCTTTCCGGTTTCCTATTACTTTATGAGCAAAAAAAAAAAAAGGTTTACGTTTTTCTGATGTCAAAGGAACTTTGCCTTTTCTATTTTATTTTATTTTATTTTTATTACGAAAGACCGGGTAGAATTTAGGGTATTTTCTGGGTTTTTTTTTTGTGTTATTTACTGATTTTGTTTCCGTGATTCGGAAATATGTAGTAAAATTTGGTGGTAAAAGTCTGTTTTCTTATGTGTAAAGATTTCAAACCAAACAAGTAAAAGTTCAAAGCAACCAACCCAACGAATCCTAAATTATGCATTGTATATCATCTGACTTGCTCAAAATCCTCGCTCGAGTTACACAAAGCGATGCAAAAGCATGCTTGCGTCTCACCCGTGACATAGTCGCAAGTCAGAGGAGAAAAATCTCCATTCTTGAATGCACGATGCAAATTCTGCATGCAGTTCTGACAATGTACACATTCGTATTCTTCATGTGAATTAACAGCGACATACAAAGACTCTGTTTGAGGCTTTAGAATATTTCGGGTTGCACGGCCTTCATTGTAACGTCCCCCTTTTAACGGATAGAAACAAAACATTAACCCTTAGATAACAGACTATTTAAAAAATCTGTATCTCTTTAATGATGAGTTTGACAAAGAAGTACTATTTATTGACAACAACTAGCAGCACGATCATGTATATTTCACAAAGAATTTCCTTTTATTGCAGTTGTGTTGCCCTTCTTTATGTCTGTTTATTTATGGACAAAGTGCAGTAGAATATTATGCAAACGAACATTTACTACATGAATGGCACGACAAAAAAAAAAAAAAAAAAAATCTCGGACAATCCCAAGTTTCATTAATTTGACAAGAACGAGTTGTTAATTCCTGCATTACAAATAACCTGACTTCTGCCTGGCAATCGACACGCAATTTATAACAGTAAAAACTGACTTATGACACTGTACCGCGACATTGCACATGACCGATAATAGACATTGTCCCCGTAAGTTACACAATTAGTTACACTAATAAGACTTCGTCGATGGAATGCTTGTTAACTTGTACTTTGGAGACATGAATGACATAATTAACGTAGCCGATTTATCTTCGGGCCTTTTGTCAGACTTTGAAAAACTTTGTGAAAGTGGCAAATATACAGACATTTCAATTAACGTTGGAAAAGAGCCAGACAATAGAATATTTCTTGCTCACATGGTGGTGTTGTGTGCAAGATGCGAATACTTTGAAACTAAATTAACTGGAAATGCAGAAGCATCTAATGATATTCAACAGGCAGCTTTGGTATTTGAGGATGTGCTACCAGAATCTTTTGAAATTATGCTTAGGTAAGCCCTACCCTATTGTGAGAGATGAGACTAATGATTTCACAATAAGCAAACAGATTCATAAACAGTTACTTGAACTATCACTATTTGTGATTCTATAGATTCATCTACACAGGAAGAGTGAATTATCATTCAAATGAAATTATAGACTGGATTGGTCTTTTGGATATTGCCTGCAAATTTGGGTTGGATGATCTTGCCATTGTTGTTGGAGACTATCTGATCAATCACCAAAAGGAATGGATAAAACACAACATTCTTGCAATCTACAAATATGCCTTATCCTCAAGTTTATTAAACAAACTTTTGGATTATTGCAACAATATTATGTTATCATCAGCAGAGCTTATTTTTAAATCTGACAGTTTAATGAGTTTACCAAAAGATCTCTTGATTACTCTTCTCAAAAATGATGAGCTTAATATGAAAGAAATTGACATTTGGACATCAGTAATACAATGGGCTACCAAGCAAGTTCCAGGACTCATAAATGAACCAAATGAGTGGTCATCTGAAGATTTTACTAAAGTGAGGGCAACCATATCTGATTGTATTCCTCATATAAGATGGTTCAATATTCAATCTGAAGATTTTCGTAAGAAAGTTGTTCCATATGATGAGTTATTAACCAAAGAGTTGCGTCATGATGTGCTTAGTTATTATATTGATAAAGACTACAAACCAAAATTTTCAGTTTTATCACCAAGGAAAGATCAAGTGAATAATAATAAATCACTTGACATAGATGTATCTGATGAAGAGCACAAACCTCTTGATATTGACTCAGTAATTATCAATGAACAACAAGCAGTGTGGATCTCACAGAAGATTAAGTCAAATCAAAAAGATCAAAAAACATCTGGAACAAATAATAGTTTTCATAAGTTGATTTTGCTTTATAGATACAGCAGGGATAGTAGTGCTCTTGAAAATTTTCGACAAATGTGTGCTGAGAAAGGACCTACAGTAGTTGTTGGGAAAGTATTACATACAGAAGAAATACTTGGTGGATATAATCCAATACCTTGGAAACCTTTTTCTTCATTCCCTGACCATTTTGGACTTACTTCAGTATGGGCTTCAACTTCAGAAAGTTTTATATTTTCATTAGATAAAGACAAATCAGAGAAAAATATAATGAGTCCTATTGTTAATAATAAGTGTGCGATTGCGGAACGTAGGCGATATTATCCTTGTTTTGGTGGTACAGATTTGTTTTTTGGAAGCCGTTTTTATGGTCCTAGTACTTTAAAAAGTGCATACAAAACTGCAATACGGTCTGATCCATGTTTTGAATGGACAGATTGGGAAGTCTTTTTGGTTACAAAATAAACTTGTTGGTCAGTATTATAACTCATTGTTGCAATAAAGTGTGTGATTGAGAATGGTTTAACTTTAACATATTGTCAAGTTAACAATTGCGGGAGAGTAATCGCTCGCTGACCTTGGGATTTAGTTATTTTCGACGATAGTTAGTGACCCGTAAACTAGCTTTACTACTCACGACCTTGTGTCGATCGAATTATTCGCCCTCGAATAAATCGCCTTGCCTGTTCCCTTCCGATGGAATTAATTTGGAAGTCTATAGGTTAAAGTTTGCTTGCATCTATCTAAAATGCATTTCCGCTTAAGTGAATAACAATCATAATGTACTAGATGTAGCACGTATGTGTAGTTTTGAAGCCTCCCACTATTAATAACAATCATAATGCCAGAATATCCACGGGACAAGGAGCGGCCTAATTCCATGTAGATTAGTGGTTCACAAATATACCGCTAATTACAAGAGAACGAATCATTATAATGTATTTAGTGTATAAAAAATCACTCGTTTATTGAAATAAACGTGAACATTACGTGAGCATTATAAATTTTAACGAAAAGTCGCGTTTCTTAGCTCTGTTATTTCTATCCTAAACGATAAATTTGTAAATGTACGACAGCGTGTATTATATCGACCATCGTGTGCAACTGTCATTTCTTTACACACTGTATATAGGTGATCCTGAAATACGCAAACATTAGGGACAATATTAATAAAAGTTTCTATGCACTTAGAATAATAACGTAATGTATAGAATGTTTTTGTTTTAGAATTGATTCAAGTGCATTCAATTCAGTACACAATACGCACAATCGACTTGCTTAATATTTAAACGGAATGTAAGAACATATTATATATTAATTCACTATGAATTTTGGTCAAGTAAAACAAAGTCAAAATGCTGATAATCGATGGCAGGTTTAACACGAGTTGTGTTTATAGCTACAAATTTTTCTCGTATAACGAACTAATGAAATGTTGAGTCTTAACAATTCAGCCTTCGTTCACAGAATTGTAACAAGTGTGGGACACTTTGTTTTGATACATTTCGATTATATTGATTACGAAAATAATAAAACTGGTTAAATGCTTCGCACAACGGACCAACTAAACTGACACTTGGACAATATAAAGTTTATCCTAATCAAATTTAGAGCTCTGCTTAAAATAAAAAATGATGCACACGAGTCGGGTTTCAACCATCTGATTTTTTGAAAGTAGATGGAGAGCAATTGATTGCTGACCTTGAGATTTAGCTATTTTCAGATGGAGCGGGTTTCCCTGATGCTAGTTAAATTTGACGACAGTTAGTGACCTGTAAACTAGACTTTATACTCACCGCCTTATTCACCCTCGAATTAATCGACTATTCCTCCGATGGGATTAGTTCGGAAACTTATACTTGTATCTAGAGAATAACAATTATAATGTCACGAGAATATCCACGGGCGATAATCTTAATCGATATAAAAATTAATGATTCACAACCATAATTAGCACGAATCATTAATAATGTATTCCTGAGCTACTCGCTAAACATGATTTAACATGATGAATTCTATCAGAAAGTAGCATTTCTCATATCTAATCGAGATGTCAATTCTTTTTATTATGGTTAGTATTACTGGCAGAAATGTAGAGATATACGTCATCAGTTAAGCTACACAATTAGTTACACCGATCAATAAGACTTATTATTATCTTTATAAGCTGCGTCATCGGTGAGCCAAAAACTACATCCTGTGGGATCAAAATTGTATTCTTCACACGTCTACAAGATAATGTTTGCGATTTCAATTTCAGTACATCGATTTATATCCGTCATTTTAGCTAAAGTTAACATAGGTTTTTCCTTTTTATTATTCCAATAAGCAAAACAAGTTAGAATACTTTCTTTTCCTCTCTGGTGCTTTCATCTGCCATTACCCCATACGTAAAAAATCGTGATTCTCTATCGACGCTAAGACTTTCACTGGTAGATAATCTTGCAACTTCTTGGTTCCAACGGGATACTGTTCCAGTCGAAATCCATTTATCAGGTTTCTTCCCCAGTCAGAAAGGCATACATTTTTTTTGTACATTCCACCGTTGACGAAACTGAGATAATTCCCGTGTTACTAAGTTCAATAACTAACTGGACAAATCGTGGCGTGTATTCTTTTGTATTTATTTTTATTAATTTTTTAGCTTCTCTTTTAAATTTTTCTG